GAAAGAAAAATAAAAATACCAGATGGTTTCACTCATAGCAGGAGCATAAAGGACCAGAGGGGGAAATAATAATAATAATGAACAACTATATATGAGACATTTTATGGGGGTAGGGTGGGGAATGGGATCAAAAATGGGGGGGGAAGTGCATTGGATAATGGTAATGGCACACGAGTGATTTGGTGATGGGAAGCCCACGGGAATTGCAACTGAGATGTAAAAAGGCACAAAATGATGTAATAATAAGCTATAATATTAAATTTTTTAAAAATTTAAATTTTCCAAACCAGTCATCCATGTGCATCATCCACTCAGTTATCATACAATAGATGCTATAGATGTTTGCTGTATGAAATTCTGAGCTATAAACCTTAGGATGTTGAAGTAACAAGCAAGAACTCTGTGTGCATGTACAGGAATTTTCCTTGCTGCTCTGTCTCTGGTCCTCATGACCTCAGTACAAGGGAAAGAAGACAAGACAGTAGTGCAATGGGATTGCGCCCACAGCCCTTCAACCCTGCACCAACTGGGGTTCTGTTTCTTATTTAGCTGTCATTACAGATACAGTCAAGTCTGTTAAGTTAGATCATAAGGGCCTCCCTGGTGTCACAGGGGATTAAGATGCAACACTATGAAGCTATCTGCAGCCACTGCAGCGTAAGTGTGATCCCTGGCCAAGAAGGTGACCCACATGGCGCAGCAGACCTTCTGTTTTGGCTGTTTGTTCCTCTGAGCAGTGTGTTTTGGTTTAGCTGTCTATTCTGCTCCCCATTCTGGTGAATCTTCTCACCCCCACACCTCTGGCCTGTACCTGTACCCCAATTCTTGTATATATAAATTATCTTTATTTTTTCTAAAAAAAAAAAAGGTCAGAAACAAAGCAGGTGAATAAAACTACAATAATAAATTCATGGATAATAGAAAGCAGACTGGAAGGTTCCTGAGGGGAAGGTGGTAGGGGCAGATGAAAGTGCAAAAGGGTTCAAGTGTATGGAGGTGGATGAAAACTAGACTTCTGGTGATGATGATGATGATGGAAGATGAACAGATGTTCACTATCCTGCTGTAACATATAACAGCCAAGAGAACTTAAGCCTACCAAGGCAAAATAGTCAAGCTGTTATAACTTTCTACTTTTCCTCCAAACTCCAGTGAGAGTTCCTCTCATTATAGATAAATCATCGAGAGGAATTGCTACCAGGAGCCAAGAAATGTTTTCATAGAAAAGTACAAATACTCCAAAATGAAGAAGATGATAGCCAAGAGACACACATTGAAATTCATCAAGGCACCTTTCTGCTTTGGGCACATTTGTTTTAATGTCACTATTTGAAATGTATTTCAACCTTCAACAACTTGGTGTGAAGTTTGAAGAATAAAGAATACCTAATGCCATCGAAATGTTACAAAAAGAGAAAGTGAACATTTTAAGGAGGAATTCTCAAATATGCACGGTGTTCAGAATTTTAATGGAACTATTGATAACCTTGTTATCTGGTGGAGTTCTGACTTTAGAATGCATTAAATCCTTGGCTTTAGTCAAATAGGTGACAGCCAGAGATGGTGTACCTAGTGTACTTGATAAAAATGCTATTTATTTAAAGTATTAGAGTGGCCATTATGTTCAAGTACAAAGTTTCAGTCTTCTCGGTAAATTTAATCTAGGAAGAAGAAAATGTTTTAGACTTTTTTTTTTTTTAAATAGGACACAGGGACACAGGGTACTCTCAGGTTTTCATTTAAGGTGGTAGCAAATGTAAAATCTGGTTTTGCCATGTTCACATGCAAGTAGAAGTAGTCCTGAGGTTTTTGTGATTTTTTTCCATTGCACACTTGTGACTAAGAATATGGTGACTTTATAAACTGTTCAAATTTTGTGCTGCTGAAAGTTTCGGTTAAATGTGTGTGTGTACACGTGTGCACACATATATATCAAATTGAATATTTATGGGTTAAGATAATTTCATTTAAAAAAATTCAAGTCTCACTACTACTACTTGTCTGATAAGAGGTAGGATTTTAATCCCTACTCAGTATCTGCAAGAATATGGATGCTTTCTTTAAGTCCCTTTTTCCTATAGGAGGAAGGTTATGAATCCCAAATTTATAGAATGACCAGGAGGATTCAGTAAAAAAAAAAAAAGAAAAAAAAATGTACTTCTATAAGTGTCTCTCATGATTTAAAAAAAATTAAATGTGGTTGTCTTTCCCTTTCCTTATTGAAATCACATGGTACAGATACATATTGAAATAAAATAACTCAATCTACATAAAGTCCAGGTTGAAGGAAGCATTCAAGGAGTCTTGAATGGTGAAAAGAGTTTTCCAGGCAAACACTCCATGTACATAATTTCCTATGTGTGTGGATTTCACAATGCTAAACTTGTCTTTTCAAATTAGAATAGCTAACATACTTTAAATCATGTTATAGCATACAGTCCTAAAAGTTATGGCTAATTCATGGAAGACACACTCCCTAGTGTTACAGCCATTCGTCTCCATGGTCTGATGAGCCCAGCGGGCTCCAGACTTCTGGGTCGCCCTCTCTAGGCGGTCATTGATATTACTCACCATGGTTTTTGGATCCCTTCTATGTCCTTGCATCTTCTTTACTTTTCTGTTCCATTGTGATAGCTCTCTGTGCTACCTACTGACCTCAGGTTCCATGTGTCACAACTTCACCAGCCTTGCCTTGTCCTGCACAACCGCCAAATACAGTTTCCTAAAATTCAATTATTCTGAAGCCCTGCTAAGATATATTTGCCCTAAGTTATCTTTAGGTTATGTCCAGTCCACTTATCTTAGTCTCCAGCCTCAGGCTCACCCCCGTTCTCCTTAGCATATTTGTGCCCCAGCCAGACAGGTATAGGCAGAGGTGGTAAGAACTCACCTAAGTTCAGACCTCACATTCCACACTAAGTAGCTGTTACATTTCATCTCTCTAGATTTGTTTTCTTATCTACAATTTATGTGAGTTAAGGAAAAAAAAAGAACCAACCTAGGCTCTCCCTGGTGGAGAGGACGCAGCACTGCAAGCTAGACAAAGCCATTTTGGTGCAAGTTCGATCCCCGGCCCGGGAAGTGACCCACAAGGCATGGCAGACTCCTTCTGACCTGCCTGCTGCTCCCCTCAGCAGTGTACTTTATTGATCTGCCTGTTCTGCCCCCCACTCTGTCTCTGGTGAATCCTCTCACAGCTCCCACATCATTAGCTTGTACCCCAGTTCTATATGTATAAGTAAATACATCTTAAAAAAAAACTAAGCTATTAGGCAAACTGGTGTGACAGCGCATGGGAAGGGCCTGGTGCTGTGCCTGGTACATAATTGGGTCTCAAGAAATTGTCACACTTGTTACCACTTCCTCCCAAATGCATCTTATTTCGGTCCTACAAACAGTTCTAGAAGTCACCTCTCTTTCCCTGGGCAAGTGTGAGGAACTGCCTCAAGCATTTTACCTTCCGGGTACCTCCTAAACCCTCCCTCTCTCCACAGTCTCTCCTCAGGCCTTCATTACTTACTTCTTTTATGTATCTTGTCTTCCTTAACCAGGCTGTACTGATGAGAATGCCCACAGAGTAAGCAGCTGTGCAGAGCCATGAGCCTCCTTGACTTCGCCCTTCCTTGAGGAAGTTGAAGTGTTCATGAAACAGTTGGAAGACTGAAGAGTTGATGTCTTAGGAGCTTTTATTTAAGATTAGGATGTATCTTACATTGCCTGCTATTTCTTGCACTCAGTACATGACAGACACACTTGGCTCTGGTGTTTGACAGTTTCCTGAAAAATCGTTGTATTCGTATGTCCCTTTCACAGATAAGCAGTGACTTTCCATCCCACAGCTGAATTTTATGTGATGTAGACCAGGGTTGGGGGTGGATACCCCTTTCAAGCTACTCTTGGACCTCCTCTGCACCTGCAACAAATGTTTAGAACAAAGACTGACTGAAGCAGTGTTTCCATGCCTCATTCAGCATCCCTTGGGAACAAATTCAGAACAAATAGAAGTGTCACCCCCACATTTAGAACTGAGGTTTAGAGGAAGTTGGGGGAAAAGATCTATTGCAGGGAAAAGGGAAGATAGTTAAGTTCTACAGAAGAAAAAATAATTCTCTGGGTGAAAATTATATTTTAGTGAGGTGAAGAGGATGACTCTTAAGAACATTTATTTTGTATGTGATTATTGGAATCTCTATTATTTGCTTTCCATTCTGAAACAGTTTCATGCTACAGGCTACCTCTAATTTCTGCTAGTTTCTCACATCTCTGCAATCAACTACTTTGCTTACTCTGTTGCTGAATTCCAGGGAGTTGCATTTAATCTCATTGTAGCCTGGCCTTTTTATACCAATTTGCTTAATACTGAAAGAACCTTCAACTTTAAAGAATACCTCCCCCATCCCTTCCAGGTGGAGAAGAGGAAAAGGTGGGGTGATGGTGGGCACAGAAGGAGGGGAGGAAATCAGTTAATTGCAGGCTGTCAGAGTTGTTTTAGGTGACTTTGTACTTCTTGAATTTAAGATCAACGTGAACCCTAGACATTTCAAGCTGGGAATTGAAATAGCAACAAAAAAAGCAGGGGTTTTTGCTAATGCCAGGAATGACTCATCTGGTGAGAATGGTATTGTATTGATAATATAATAGAGAGAGGGGAAAGACTGTAGTATCTGCTCTCTTTGTGTTTCTGACCTTGAGGAGAATTATAACTTGTTTGTTGCAGAAGTTGAGCAGCTAATGTGCTGATGCACCTGTTAGTTCTTATATATTAAATGGCAAAGCACTTGCAGATTCCCTGCGATTGCTTTGTTGGTGAAATATTTGCTACAATCTAGTTTTTTTTTCTTCTAAGAATGTATTCATTATTATTTCTTGTATCTCTTATCTCTCAAAAATACACTTTCTCATTCTGTTTCAGCACTTTGGTTTTCATCATTACATCTTAGAATAGGTTTGGTTTTATATTTTCAAGGTAATATCGTTATCATTTTTTTTTTTTAATCTAGAGACCATGAACCAAGCAACGCCTGCTAGAAAGCTGGAAGAGGTTCTTCATTTAGCAGAGCTGTGCATAGAAGTCTTACAGCAGAATGAAGAGCATCATGCAGAGGTGATGGCTTACTTTAATGTCCTATAAGGCTATATAGAATGCTTTGTACAAGGGGAGAAACACTGAAGGAGTGGGCACCCACAGAGTCTGATCCACGCCTGCCAGTTTACCTGTAGACAACTGAGAACAGTTGTGCATTTCCTAGAAATCTCACTACTATATGTATACAAAGGAACTGTATATGTGTCTGATTTAACTTCTATTCCTGGGCCCTCCCTGGTGGCACTACAAGTTAAAGCACAGCACTGAGAAGCTCTCTGCAGCCACTGCAGCACCAAGTTTGATCTCCAGCCAGTGAGATGCACGGCAGACCTCTCCTGACCCGCCCGCTGCTCCCCTCAGCAGTGTATTTCAGTAGATCTGCCTGTTCTGCTCCCCATTCTGTCTCTGGTGAATCCTCTCACCCCCCGCACCTGTGGCTTGTACCCCAGTTCCTGTATGCATAAATAAATAAAATTAAAAAAAAAAACACATCTTTTCCTGATAACAGTGTGCCATGAGGAATGTCTAGAGAGTGATAGGGTCAACCAAAGATGTGCTAGTAAGAAGCTAAGGGGCACATAAACCCATCTTGCCTTCCCCCATGCCACGATGGCTTGGTTCAAAATCGTCAGCCAATCCACATGCACATGGAAAACTAGTGCCAAACTCCAAAGAGAACAAAACTGAATAGAAGTCACAGATCAGTATGGTGGATAGAGTAAACTAGTTTATCTTATTAGCAAACTTTTCTTTAAACTTGCTCTAAATCGGCGTTGGTTCTAATCTTAAAAGTTCTAATTTTATATTAATAGTTGCTAGCAATACACAATGTTTTTTCACCAAACTGCTTATCCTGAGACTTAATGTGTCACTTTCTAATCGTGAATTTCAAAACTGAAAAGAGTTTTCCGACCTGAATTGGGTGAGGAGATGTGGGAAATTAAATAAAGGCCATATAAACTGGTGCCCTTAACAATGATTTATTCTTGAGGAAACACCTGAAATATCATGAAAAAAAAGACCAGTTGCTTAAGAATCTGCGAGTATTTCTGTTTAATGAAGTCTTATTTTCAAAGCTGTAAGAAATGACAGGAATTACATTTTAACCAAATTCTTAGAGCATTCATGAAATCTTACTCCATAGTTACCTAAGGTTTATTGTATCTGGTTATAAATATGATCATTCAAAACATCTGCTTTTAGCTCACACTATGGAATCTAGTTTTTACCTTGCATCTGTCATGTGTGAACTTGTTATGGATATTTTATTTTAAACTGAAGAAACAGCTGCTTCAATAATTTGAAATGAATTCCCAGGAGGCTCTTCCTGGACTAGTAGTATTGCTGTGTTACAATGAAGGAGTATATGATAAAATATACATGTTGTCTTTGTCTTTTATTAAGAGGCATTATCAGAGTATTAGACCTTCTTTGAATTAAAAGAAAAATTCTCATTAGATAGCCAGGTCAGTGTATTTGTATGTATATGCATATCTAAATAGCTACCGTGGATAGTCCCACACATTTCACAAAAATCACAGTCATTTTCTTCTGCCAATAAGAAAAATTGTAACTCTATCATTTAAACTTAATACTATGATACAACCCCCATTCTATCAGTAAATGCCTCTTGTGTAATGTGTCATAACACAATTAATGCTGTTTACTTGCTAATCTATAAATACACAATTAGCTTTGAACAGAGATAATCATTACTCAGAAATATCTCTCTACTCTAGGCTGAAATATAGGATTTTATAATTACCACTATTTTAAAAATGCTTTATAACACTATGGAAATGTTCCATTCCACCATGCTTCCAAATTCTTGGACTCCCTCAGGGAAGAGAGGTGAGTAGAATTGTTTCTACTATTTCCTAGCATGTAATAACTTTTTGTGAAAATAAGATAGAACCCACTCTCATCATAGTGCATTTTAAGCCAGCTTAGTTCCTTGCCTTGGAATTAAAACTATTTCTTGAAGCAGGCTCATCTTTACTATAGTGTTTCTGTTAATGTGTCTGATTAATAATAATTGTGTGCACCATTACGGCTGGCCATCTCAGTAAATGCCAGCTGGAGGGATTATTTTTCTTTTTTGCTTTGATTTTATCTCTATTCTTCTGTTTTGTTTTGGGGACCTTTTTCTTTCTTAAGATCCTCTTTTTCTCTGAGCAGTATTGGGGAGAGAATTGATCCAATCCCAAAGTCATTTCCAGAGTGAATTGGGAGTCTGCACTGTGCGCTGATCTTTATTTTGCTGGATGTTCAGGCTCGAGTTTCTTTCCTCTGTGAAAGAGGACCCAGCGCCGCTCCCTTGGTCGAGGTTAATGGATCTGCCTCAAAGAGACCCTCAAGTGGCTCGTGTGTCAGCTCCTTTTATTTTCATCTTGCTCCTCTCTGCAGTGGCAGTTTACTTTGCGGGGCTAAGAGGTTGTTTCTGTCCTTCAGCAATTTCTCAGTGAAGCAGGTTTTATGTCCTTCAGATCTTTGACAGCAACTTACTCACAAGACAGTCTTCCCCTATCTCCGAAGGCCTCTGACCACTCCTCTCAGGCTTTGCTTTTGAACCTCTGCGCGTTCTCTTTAGAAAGACAGCACAAACTCCTTTCCAGAAAATCTTTAAGTCTGTCTTTACATTCCAGTGGTTAGTTTGTGTCTTTCCAGAAATTGAAGCAAACCAATATGTCAACTGTCCATCCGAAGGCCACTGGCTTTGACAGCACCAAGCAGTCTCCAGGATGATGGGAGAACCTCGGTTGCCACATGTCCATCCCCTCACACACCATTTTGCTAATAAGAAAATGAGAGCCAGAAAGGTTGAGCTACTTACCAGAGCAGCACAGCTGGCTCTTGATGGCATGAAGATGCAGGCCAGATGTGTACCTGGGTGTCTTGCTGTGACCACATTGTTGTTTCTTGGTTTGAAGGGAATGCTGGTAAATTGTAGTATTTACTCTCTCTTCTAGCAGATGAACTCTAAGATCCTTCCCCGTTATTGAAAACAGCACATAATGGGCCCTCCCTGTTGGCATAAGGGGTTGGAGCACAGCATCACAAAACCAGCCTTGCCCACCTCAGTGGGAGTTCGACCCCCATCCCTGGAGGTTGGCAGACCTCTTCTATCTCACCTGCTGCTCCCCTCAGCAGTGTACTTTGTCAATCTGCCTGTTCTGTTCTCTCTGTCTCTGGTGAATCCTCACACCACCCCTACACCTCTGGCCTGTACCCCAATTCTGTATGCATAAATAATAAACAAATAAATAAATAAAAATAATCACATATGTAGTCAGACAGGCAATGCTAAAATCTGCTAAACCAAAATACTGGGTTCAGAGAAACTAAAAGAACCTGTTTTACATTGGAGGGTCAGGAAATCACTCTCCTGAAGGTGTGTTTTTAGACCTTAGATTCAGAACAAAATTACTACAGATAAAAAGTACTATGTTTACAATGTGAGACATAATTTTTGATAAACATTAGAATATTAATCAGATTTAGTTTTGATGCGTAAAACATGAAGTCTAGAAAGTTAAGATGTAAAATAATTTTGCTTAATTTTTTTTAAATATGGATTTAATACAAACATTAGAAAACTATGTAAAAAACTGTTTACATTTCATAATTTAAACAACTAATTTGACTGGTGTATTTATTTGTATGTTTCCTTTTTCAATGGATAGAAATCTTGAAGTATTCGTATCACATTTTGCATCATGCTCCTCCAGCCTCACACACGTTTTCAAGTGACACCATATTTGCATATGTTTTAACACAAGTCTGTTCTAACATTATTTCTCTATCCTCTCACAGGCGTTTGCCTGGTGGCCTGATTTATTGGCAGAACATGCAGAGAAATTCTGGGCTTTGTTCACTGTGGATATGGATACTGCACTGGAGGCCCAGCCACAAGACTCCTGGGATAGTTTTCCTCTCTTCCAACTGCTTAATAATTTCCTCAGAACTGACAGTAAGTATTTGCATTTTCTTCAGTTAGGAGGGAAGAGTGGAATGTGTGTGTGAGAGAGAGAGAGAAAGTGTATTCCTAGAACTTACCACTGTCAGCAAGAGCCAGCAAAGGTAACATGAACATTGGCTCAACTTTCCTGAGCATCTCTGGCCAGTGGCTTCTGGAGGAGAGCAACAGACACTCCCACGTGTCTCCACTGGCCTCTGAAGCTCCTCTTATTCCCACCTCCTGCCTTTGTTGAGGACTGACAACATAGGCATCCTTCTCATTACACCCAGTGAAACAGAAACTCACCAACGGTTCACATTTCTGAGTACTTGAGAATACTTACATCTCTGAAGAACACCTACGAAATGTATGCTTATTCTAGAAATGATCCCATGCTCAAGCTTCTAATAATATACATTATAATAATATTGTTCGCCTAAGAGGCACTCAGTGTACAGATCATAGTGTCGTGTGGCTATGTGGTACGGCTTGTGTGAGGAAATTTTAAAAAAATAAAAAATAAAAAAAATAAAGATTCTCTATTGCAACTTTGTTCCCAAAGCAGTGACTTTGACAAGGATTCTGGTAGTGATCCTCTAGCAACCAATACATACCTACTTTTTCATCAGGTTTTCCTGGGGGTATTTCATAACATACAGATTCCTGGATCTCATATATGTTGGTTCTTGTTAAAATGTCCCTTCAAGTGAAATGTGGCTACTTCTGACAGCTTTTGCATCACCACTTTCTGTGATCATGGAGTCACTGTTCTAAAATGTTCTTGCCTATATAGACCATTGAGCTCTAGCTCTTTCAAAACAAGAACCAGAACATGCTCCGACGTGTTCTAATCGATCCTTCTGCTGTGGTGTATTTTCTTCTCTATGACTCCCAAGTACTCAGTTTTTCCTTACATAAGTTTCCATATCCATTACCTTTCTTACCACCTTATGATTAGACCTCACCCCTTTTCTCAGTGTTGGTCTGGGGTGTGGGCCTGGGTGACCCAGCCCATTGGGAAGTTCTTTCTTTCCGCTGTCCTCATGAAAGTCCTGAAAGTTTGATACTGCTCTTATAAATCACTTAAGTTTAACTAACCTGCCCCAGCATGCAAAGCTAGTATAGATGCAGGACTCAAATCCAGGTAGTCTGGCTTCAGAGTTAATGTGAAATTTAGCAATTTTTTTTTTTTTTTTGGTAAACCCTCCACGGAACTTAATCATGCTGCTGATACAGCCTAACATGCTGTGCTTTTAAATGTTTCTTTCCTTTCTGTTTGTATTCATTCATTCATTCATTCACTGCTGCTGTATTTTCAGAAAACCACTATTCTGTATTTAGTTTTAAAACTGAGTCCATGTTTTTACATTTATCTTGGAGCTTTAAAACATTATCCTGTTGGTTGGTTCATCATGTGAATCCATCCTGTCCCACCTTTCTTTTCTTGTTCATCCCTTTAAGTATCTGATAAAACTATAGCCATTTTCCTTGAGGAGAAGGAAGATAGGAAATATACTTAGATATGAAATAATATGTAGTGTTGGACTCTCCCGGACATTGGATTTAGGACTCCAGGTTAAGAACCTTTAAAATAGTAAGAGAATCATCACTGGTAGTCGTTTTTAATAGCCTGGATACCAGAAAGATCCCCATCTTTCTCTGCCTATTGTTGCATGACCCTGGACAACAGCTTCCTGTCTGTAAGCTTCAGGCTTTTCACTGTAAGAGAAGCAATATAGTAGCACCTGTAATGTTATTGGCATGAGGATTAAATAAGATACTAGCTTATATATAATTATTGGTAAGTGGGGTTTAATGTTAGGAAAATAAACTTCCAAAAAAAACATGTATTGTGTATTAAGTCCCTACTTGTGAGAATAAGTAAGAAAAGGAATATATATCTAAAATTGCTTTTTTCATTTCCATGAAAGTGCAAGAATTGACACTGTTTATATTTATTTAGAGTTTTATTCAAAGATGAGGTGTTAATGTTTATAATAAAGAAGTTGGTATAGATAATGAACCATTTATTTTATGATAATTATAAATTACTTATAAAAAACAAATCATGTGTATTTCTTTTTTAAAAAAGATTTTTGTTTTTGTTTTATGCATAGAAGACCTGGGGTATAGGCCAGAGGTTCAGGGGGTGAGAGAATCACCATAGACATAGACACCATAGAGAGGGGATAGACAGAGAGGGGAGCAGAACAGGCAGATCTGAAAGACACTGCTGAGGGGAGCAGCAGGCGAGACAGGAGAGGTCTGCTGCACCGTATGGGTCATCTCCTTGGCCAGCAGGAATCAAACTCTTATCACAGTGACTAGTGATAGCTTGATATTGCTGAGACTTTAACCCTGGACCACTTGGGAGGGTCCTCATGTTTATTTCTTATAAAATTTTTGCAGAAAACTTTGCTACCAGTTCAATGAATTAACATCCTATAATATTTCTTTTTAAGAAATATTACAATATTACATCTATTACAAGTGTGAATTTATTAATCTTAGGTAAAAGAAAGCACTAAAGTGAAATAGACAAATTTAATATTTGCCAGATTTACAAATATTTAATGCACAAGAGTTTTATATTCCTCTCCAGTTTCGAAACATTTCTGTTGCCCACTATTAAATCAACTGCTATTAAATGCATGTAATGTAGTTTTGTGTCATGTTATATATTATTCAAACAAAACATGGACATCGAAACATTTATTTCATATCTCTTGTGTGTGCTGTCAGGTTGATGGGGTAAGTCAAGACCTTGGCTTTGATTTTGCAGTGATTAACAGATCTTAGAAAACATCAATTATTTCAGAGAAAAACAACTCCTCCGTGTAGTGAGATAAATAGAAAAGTTCCCCAGTGCCATGATTTCCTTTTGGAATTGGGAGTACAGTGTGGCCTGGGGAATTGAAATAAAATGCAGTGCTTTTCATCCCAAACTCACAAGTTACTACCCAAAGCTAACCCACGAACACTGAGTAATATCTCAGTGGTTGCTAAAACAAACACTTTTTGCTACTGCTATCACCCTGGTAGTAGTGAAGAATATTGTTATGGTGAAGTGTTTATTTACTAAATTCCTGACATTAAAATGGTGAAATAGTGAATTCAGTTCAAGTGTTTAATGCCAACCTTTAGCTGCCCCCAAGTTAGCCTTTTGGAGAGCTTATAGAAAAACAAAAAGCTTCTCTTCACTTAATCCCCCTCGAAAGAAAAATACTTACCTCACTGCCATGTCATAACAGTTTATACTATATTGACCCAATTAGCATTTTATTCAAAAAGCTAATTATAACTTGAGCCAGAAATAATAGGAACAGATTGTTCTGAAATGTTCAATCTTAGAATGGTAGATAATTTGCTGAATAACAGTGCTTACTATTATCCCATCATATGGTTTACCACTAATTATATGCAGATTTTTAATATTTGTGATTTATTACTAATAATGTCACATACTTGTGTTTGCCTTTCCAAAATAAAATCTGTGCATCTCCAACTAATGGAGGTATTAGAATATGAACTTTGTATATGTCTTGGAAACTTTATAGCTGCGTTTTTTTCTTTCAAAATGAGTAATTACCACTGGTTTGTTTGCCATTGTTTCCTTTATTCAAATATTTATGTGGGCTTCCCTGGTTAAAGCACAGCACTGTGAATCCATCGCCAGCCACTGCAGCATGAGTTAGACCCCCAGCCTGGGAGCTGATCTGCATGGTGTGGCTGACCTCTCCTGTCTCACCCACTGTCCCCTCAGCAGTGTATTTCAGTCAGTCCACATGTTCTGCTCCCCACTCTTGTCTCTGGTGAATCCTCTCACCACTTCCCCACTCCCTGGCCTACACCCTAGTTCTTGTATTCATGAATAAATAAAATGTTAAAATAAAATATGTATGCTTTGATCTTTAAAAATAGAGGTGTATCTTTTGGAGAGTGAAAGGGATCTGAGACAGAACTTGCATTTTCCAATCGAGGAAACTAAATCCTCATGGGTAATGAGCTGGATTGGTACTTGTTGACAAGAATCAGGGACAGCTATGAACTAGTGACTGATTCCTGGGTCTTCAATTCAGGCTTGGCTATTGCCAAGGCAGATTCTGGGAGCATTTATAAAACAATGTTTTTGAGGAAAATAGGAGATTCCTAGAACTTTCCTTTTTACCTCACAAAATTGTTATAAAGGTCTTGAGTTGTAGGAGCAGAGGAAGAGTTGGTTGAAAATTATAGAAGTAACCAGAAAATGCTATATACTGTTTTCTCAAGTATGACTGAAGCACACATGACAAGAATTCCAGGTACTGAATTAGTGGGGAAAGGGATTTAAGACAGGAAATTCAGTATCTGTTTTAAGGCCAAAAAAGATTATGTCTGGGGCTTATGTCTTTCTTTACAGTTGGGTATGATTAGGGAGAGTCTTTGCTGGAGAACCCTTGGAGATGAAATATGGTTTCCTCCAGGGAGGAATACCAGCTGCACCACAATTTTAGCAATTGTCCCCAATCTCCCACCCCCTCACAGATTCACCTGCTGATCCCCAGAGCAGGGCTGATGATGAAAACAAACCCAGGCTTTCATTTCTGGCCAAAAAGACTGAGGGTCCCTCTTTTCTCTTCTCCTCCTGTCCATGCACCCAAATCCACTCCTCCAATTTAAGAGATTCTTGGGCAGATAGCCATTTGAAGTGGCATCAAAAGACACAACTTGGGGACAAAAGAGACCCTGAAATTGAGGAGGAATAGATATTGTCAGTACGAAGCAATTAGTGTGATCGTTAAATGACACTGAATGACAGTAAAACTAGGACAAATAGATTCTACCCTTGCATGCTGTTTTCACAATTGTCCTGTCGATGATAGGTAAGTAAACTGACCACTTCTGACAAATAAAAGTGTCTGCAAGTGGCAGAAATCCTTTCTTCCAGCAGGAGTGAAAGGTGAGCCCTTGGAGCAAGGCACCTTTTAATCTGGGGATATGCTAGCAAGTGGCAAATGACCATTCTACTGGGAACCAATTCCCAAGTGAAAAATACCACGGTGCTTCTTCTTTAATTAACAGCCTTTTCACATTGCTAGCACATTAAAGCCATCCTGAAGAACGCCCGTGCTTATATGATCAATGTCACACATCTCTGCCTAAACGAATAATAAGTGCTCAGGCTCTACACTAAGTGAAAACCTATTCTTCAAGACTTTCACCTTCATAAAGATGGGCTCATAAAAATCGAAAAAAGAAAAATTGGAATGTGGTCTCAGGAGGATAAAAAGGCTAGTGTTAATAATTAACAAGGAGAGTGAAGTGGAGTCAAATTAGCCATAATAGAGCCCAGAGTGACTGGCAAAGTCACCTCTCATTATCAAAAAACTCATTAAGAAATGAAGAGGTGGAAATCCCGCTGGGTTATTCTCACACTTAGGCTGTATCAGAGATGATTTTTCAGATTTCTTTTAAATGAAGAACTGTGAGGTCACCATATTGTAGATTAGGTTAATCTCGAAGCTTTGAAATATGGAGGGGTTGGCACCTGCGTGTTACTCTACCTCGAGTGCTTAAATGAGCTGTGCGTCTGAAACTCACGAGTTGGTGTTTAGAGATCTCTGTGTATATACATATCCCAGGAACAATGCAGAAAGGCTGTCACTTCTAGATTATAGCTGGACTGTGCGAGCTTAGTTGAATAGATAAGCACTTGTACAGATAAGACGCCTACGAAAATGAAAATGAACTCAATTCCAGTCTATACTTGACCATTCAAAATTTTATGTTAGAATTTGTGTTACCAATCATGATAATAAAAGGAATATAAAAGCAAATATCACAGGCTTTTTTCCCCCCAACTGAACGCTATAGTGCTGCACTGTATACCCTATCTGTAGGGTACATTTGCGGAGGTATTTAGTATATTTGTGGAGGTATTTAGTAGCATAAAGAAAATGACCTACTCTAAAATGGCTTTGTGACCTTCACAGGAGATTTGCAGAAATATCAAATTCCTGAAGGCCCTGGGCATGAGAACCCCACATTATGGGGATGTGACCCTCCTAAAGCCATAACCCATTTTTCCCAATATAGGGAGCAGGTATTGGGGGCCACGATGCAGTGATTGAGAGAGTAGAAGCAGTCTTTTTTTTTTTTTTACTTTAATATGAATCTCATGAAAGGCAGCATGAATACTTCTGGCTCACAAGATGCGTTTGTCATGTCCCTAGCCTCATGTCCCTATTTGTATTGAATTTTTTTCTTGAATTAATACTGAGAAAAGGAGATTCTAGATGTCTACGATTTATAAATCCCAGTAATATTGTGAGTGAACAAATTAAAAACAATCTCTGTTTAAAAAGCATGTAATCTAGTGGAAAAAACATGCATTACTAACTACAAATAAAATGTAGACATATAGATCAATTATGTGTACTCCACTATAACACCTGAGATGTAATTGATGATGTAACATTATATTAAGACACATTTAAGAACAATTTAAAATTGAATTTCTTGGGCTGAATTTGTTGAGTAGAAAGTAAAAAACATCAGCATTCTCACTTGCTACTTTTTTGGGGGGGGGCATAGAGAACTAGGGTATAGGCCAGAGATGCAGGGGCAGTGAGTGGATTCATCAGAGGCAGAGTGGGGGAGCAGAACAGGCAGACTGATGAAGTACACTGCTGAGGGGAGCAGTGGGCGGGTCAGGAGAGGTCTACCACGCCATGTGGGTCACCTCCTGGGCAGGCGGGGATCGAACTCATGCAGAAATGCCTTTAGCTTCTTAGTGTTGTGCTTTAACCCGCTGCACCACCAGGGAAGGTCTTGCTACTTTGTTTTAATAGATAGATGATTGATGATAGATGGAAAGGAAGAATTATATATAGTTTTTAAGAAGTTAGTATTCTAGTAAGGATATAAATTAAATATGACCAAACTCTATCAATCACTGCTCAATTATTATTAAAAGGAGAAAAGCCAGCAAGTTTCCAGTTTTACCAAAACATTCAGGAGTTTCATTTAGGAGGTAGATTTTTATTGGTTTGGTTTAATATTTTTGTTTCTTTGAATTATTTTGTTGATTTCATTGATATTATTAACTGAATATTTATTGAGTGCCTATTTCATGGGACAGGGGCTTGCTGAGATGCTAATCCTAAATCTCGGGGCGGTGTGTGTGTTTGTAGGTTACATCATGCTGTTCTAAGCTAGACTGATTTTTCCCTTGAAGTTCATATTTGTATATCCTGTTATGGGGATCCTCATTTTATATATATATATATATATATATATATATATATATATATATGTACCAACATGGATAGTGACCTAAATTTTACATTGTAGTCTACTGTACTTAAATAGTACAGAATTGGTACAATTTGTAGCTCTTTGAATAACTCTTTGATGGCATAGCCTGTTTGTCGTTTTATTGTGGTCAATGTTGGTTTTGCCAGTCAGAAAGTATTCATTTCCTTCTAAAATGCCTCATTAGAATTTTAGGGGGGGGGGAATTCTTCCTAGAAATCTACTAGTGCTGACTAATTGGAGGGGAGCAGTGTGATATAAAATTGGATTATACGGGCTGAAAACGCTGTGTGACCTCTTTTATCTGCTTATTGTTCATTTACCCAGTGGTGCATGTCTCTGTGATTGTTATTAGTTGGATCATCATTTAAATTCTTTGTCCAACTTTACTATTAAAAATCTAGGACAAGTACTTTTATAATGTAAGAATATTTTGGTATATAAATATTTTTGGTATATAAATAATCAACAGTAATTTATTAATTATCAGTAGACTTAATCAGGCACATCTGCATCCAGAGTTTACCTTCTACTCAGGCCTTTCACTTTCCTTTTGCCATTTCTAATTGTACCACAGGGTATGATGTCATTGTCGCTTCATTATTCTCGGACAAGGTGATATTTGGAACATGGACTCTTTGGGGGTAAAATATTAATTTATCAACAGAGTAGATACTGGCCCTCCATTTACCATGGATACGCTTGTAAGCACAGCTGGAGATTCCAAAGCAGTCCTTTCTGCTTCCACCTTTGGTACATGCTTGCAGCTTTCTTTCATGCAGCAGCATTTCTCAATGGCTACTTCTCATGAGCTGTTCAGCGGGTACCAGCAAAAGCTTGGTTTGGACATGTGGCAACCCCAAATCATACCCTCTCCTTCTTATGCCATATGGAGAAGATCAAACCACTCATTCTGCTGCCTGAGGCTACATATTAAGAGGTTCTTTTGACGGTGTCTGATGGGAGTGGAATGCAAACTGGCATATGGACAACCGAGAAGAGGAGCATACATTTACATACGCAAGTGTCTGTAGTGTGCACTTGGGTAGTCTTGCCTTTTGGAATTTTCTTTTCTTTCTTTCCGCCTCTGCATCTATTTTCTCTTCATTTCTCGTCTCTCTCTCTCTCTCTTGCCCCCTCCCCCCACTCTTTAGTGAATCTAATTACCTGAGGAAAAAATACCACTAATTGGCAGTTTTCTAAAACTTGATTCTTTTAATGAAATGAACTCTGCTGAAATATGAGCAAACTTTCAATCAGCATTCAACATTTCTGACAAGTTTCAGAAGGATAGGAAATCTGCATTTTCATACCACCTGCCTGGAACATTTTATAAAGACAATCTAGTATGGTTTTGACTGCCCTATATTGAAGGTCATCTCCACTTCTACATCAGTTTTCACAATATTCCAAATTGAGATTGGGAAGCAAGGATCTATTATCTGCACTTTATCTATTCTTCTGGATCAGAATCTTTTAGGCAAAGTGTTTTCACCCTGTATGCCAAATACTAATATTATCCCTCTGACAAACACTATTTCTGCTTGATTATTTCAGCACTTTTATGTAATGGAAAGTTTCACAAACACTTGCAAGAAATCTTTGTGCCCTTGGTTGTCCGCTACGTCGATCTCATGGAGTCCTCCATCGCCCAGTCAATTCACAGAGGTTTTGAGCAAGAAACATGGCAACCTGTCAAGTAGGTATCCTGCCTTGTGTCGACTGAGCACCTGCCTCTCCCCGCTGACCTTATGCCTCCCCCCGGCCATCTGTAGGTATTGCTCATGGTGGCCCCTTCCCACGTTGTTTGTTTCTTTACAGGAATATCGCCAACAGTCTTCCCAATGTAGCTCTTCCAAAAGTTCCAAGTCTGCCTCTTAATCTTCCACAGATTCCTAACTTTTCTGCTCCTTCGTGGATGGCTTCTTTATATGAGTCCACGTGTGTATTCCTCACTTATTTCCTGGTGGTGTGTAGCTAGTGCATGGCCGGGCTGTGTTCTGTGCAGACGTGGTGAGATTGCATGGCATTTCTCTCCATTGGTGGAGGGACACTTTGTTTTGAGTTTCTTTATTTGACTATTTTTTAAGCTGTCAAGCTAAGCTTAGCAAGTTGATGATACATGATGTAAAAATAATAAAATGAAAAGAACCCACTGGTTGGAAGTACTTCATGTGTAATCCATGCAACAGAGGTCCTTTCATGGTCCAGCTTTTAGGCTCCAGCCAAGAGGTCTCTTTGTTCAGACAAGCTGTGTGGGAAATGGTATGTACAGACTCCTTGGGTGATTCCAGCTCCGTGATTTATCTTGCCCATGTCAGAAGCCATTGTAAGCAGTTTGAAAATAAATTCTTATCTTGGGCTCACCTTTAAACAAAACAATATTGCAGATTGTAGAGGAAGTACTATCCTTTATTTCCCAGCAATACCAAGTCGTCCTTCCATGTATCAGTTGTTCCTTCTTATTTTTAAGCAAATGTTATGTCATTAAAAACCAAGTCTGTTAAGGCCACCTTGTGATGACCCTACCTTCTGCAGATTCAGTGCCACAGAGTCATTGACGTGAGGCCACTGCTTTGAAATCAGTGGATTCTGAATTTAGATCTAGCTTAGTGATGACTATTCTTTCTTAGTCACAGCTTCTCACTGCTAAAGCATTTATGAGACCTGATGGAAGGATATTTTCATGCGTTTTTTTAAAAAACATATGAAAACTGCACAGCACATTCTTGCTTCTCTAGAAATGATAACTACTTCTTTTCCTCCAAATATTATCATTATCATCATAATTCATCACTGTATATTTTCAAAACGTATCTACCACACAGCAATCAAATAAATTCAGTATTTGTCCTGCATTGCCTAATATCTCATTTGAAGTCAACTAGAAAGATAAATAGTAAAAAGGAAAAATAGCTTTTTTATAAAAGAATTATGTCTCAGAATTTAGAAACAAAACTTGCCCAGTTTCTCACAATAAGCCACAGAAGCACTGTTTGATCTAGGTTTGGTTCACTTCAAAGCTGTTAACTTATTCTGCTTACAGAGACTAGGCAGTGTATGGTCTCCCTGTGAAATTCCCACCACAACTCACCCGTGCGCCATCACCATACTCCCTTGTGCTCTTCCCACTCCTGTCCTGGTTCTTTTCCCTCCTCCTCCCCTACAGAATGTCACTGATCAGCAGATGCCTGATGATTTTGATTTTTGCTTATGATAGTTACTTCTTTCCCCTGATTCCTGATTTAATTTCTCTACATTCCTCCTATAAGTAGGACCATTTGATATTTTTCTTCTTCTTCCTGGCTTATTTCACTGTACAAAAATGAAGGATGATATAATGAATATATTGAAATATGTATATAGATATATAAAAAGAAAAAAGAAAGCCAGAGACTATGCAGACCATACAGGTTAAGAACTTGCCCAACCCTTTCTGTCCATCCAACCACCAATTCTCGTATCTATTCCTGTGCATATAATTAGAAAAGAGAGAAGATAAGACCAAGAAAGAAAAAAATTTGTGGAATAATTTGGCATAATTTCTTCAAATTAAACATCATCCCTGTACTCATTATTATTACTGGAATATTAAGTTACCTGTGAACTTTTTCCTTGGGCAAATGCCTTGGCTCATTAGTGGGTAAACTATTATCTGTGAATGTTCAAGAATTACCTGGGAAGGAAACAAACCTTTCTACAGTTAGGGTTTTTAGTAACTCCTTTATACTGTCTTATCATTTCTCTTCTCTCTCCTCATTCCTCATCTTTTTTTTTTTTAAAGATTTATTTATTCGTACAGAACTGGGGTACAGGCCAGAGTTGCAGAAGGTGAGAGGATTCACCAGAGACAGAGTGGGGAGCAGAACAGGCAGATCTATGAAGTACACTGCTGAGGGGATCAGCGGGCGGGTCAGGAGAGGTCTGCTACGCCATGTGGATCACCTCCGGGGCAGACGGGAATCGAACTCATGCAGAAGTGGTTTAAGCTTCTTTGTGCTGGCCTTTAACCCGCTGCGCCACCAGGGAGGGTCCTCATTCCTCATCTTTTTAACATCATTGTGGGAACTCTACTGTCCAACTTAAGAATTTCTTTTGTCAATGCTATTTTATTAACTTTGAAATAATTGTGGACCTTGAATCTCATTATTGGTTCCTCTCTTTTTTTTATATGATCTGAGTCTCAAGACAGGAATCATGGAATATTGTGGCTTTATAAATAAAGTACTTGTATTTTCGTCATTTCTAGACAGAAAAACAAATATGTTTTACAAGTTCATCACCATTGACTTATCTGCAAAATTAAAGTCATTCAATGTGACATGAGATGCTTTGTCAAGGTGTCCACAGTAACTCATAACACTTTGATGCCATTGCAGTTATTTTTTGGACATTTCTTATAAAGCATAAAGTAGCCAAAAGATGTTATTTCCTATATGTAAGGAATTAAAGATACAACATAATTGATTAAAGATAAGAAATATCAAAATAACATGGACTGGAGACTCATCCCTGCATGCTGATGGGTACATCACCTTCTCCAGATCTTCCCCCAGATACAAAATCATCATTCGGGGTTGCTTTTTCTTTCTTTCTTTGTTTTTGTTCGTTTTTTTTTATATACTCAAAAAATATGTGCTGGTAAGGTAAGTTTCCTGCTGACTCTTTTAGAAAAGTATCTCATTGTCTATTATTTACATTTAAATTCTATAACCTGTTAATATTTTTAGGAATAAGTCATGGATGAGAAATACTTTCAGAATAAAAAATTTAAATAAATTGTAGGTTATATATTCCAGTTCCAGAAGAGACCTAGTTATAATAGTCCAATTTATTTAATTATAAAAAAACTTATTTTAATTACACTCCCAATTAAGCACATTTATTGTTCAAATCTTACATAACCTCAAAGAACACAAACAGTGACCACATTTGCTAGAAAGATTTAATTGTCACTTATTATAGACATTCTTTTTTGGTGAAGTTCTACCTTTATTCTTTGGGACTTTGTTTTAATGGTAGCTTTACTGTTTTGTGATGCTGTTAAAGAATACACACATATTTTAAATAGTTACTAATATTTCTCCAAAGTAAAAAACTGCAAGAAATTAGATTTGCTTCAATTGTCAACTATGTTTGATTACTCCTAAAACATAGGTCCCCTAATCTTCCAAATTTAACACAATGGATGTTAGGACCTTGGGGATCATCATTTTTTTTTTCCCGACTTACTTTTATTATATATCTGGCATAAAAGCACATAGTGTTTTCTCCAGCATTTTTCACAGTGTTACCACATGGTGTTGAATGTACTTTGAGGGCCGTAAGTATGAAGGTCAGGATATAATTAAGTGAGTAAAAAGCTCTGGAGTGTTTTCTGTGTTTTATGTGACTGATCCCTTGAGAACTGAAGGCGGAGGACATTTTGGCTAGACAGGGACAATATAAGTTGCTGCTGAAGGTTGCTGCAGGTTGGGCGGTGATGGATCTAAGATGCTGAAGTGTTTAGTTAGCCAGAGCCAAGGTACTATAATTTTTTTTTAAAGATTTATATATTTATGTATACCGAGAGGAGCCTCCCTGGTAGTGCAAGGGCTTCAGATGCAGCACTATGAAGCTGACTGCAGCCACTGCGGTACAATTTCAATCTTTGACCAGGGAGCTGACCCACATGGCACAGCAGACCTCTCCTGTCTCACTGCTGCTCCCCTCAGCAGTGTGTTTCAGTAGATCTGCCTGTTCTGCTCTCCACTTTGTCTCTGGTGAATCTTCTCACCCCTCACACCTCTCGACTGCCCCAGCTCTTGAATGCATAAATAAATAGATCTTAAAAAAAAAAAGAAAGAGAAAAAGAAAAATTTTACGTCAGTGCATGTCAAACAGTGTTTGAAAACTGACGAGACAGGAATCATACAGCATGATTTCTTTTCAGTTTTACAAATGCTGTCATGTTTTACCGTGGTAATATTTTACTTCTGAAAGACCTGTCTTCCTATTGGATGAGGTAGTGCATAATGGAAAGACCTTGTGCCACACTTTATCCAAGTTTGAACAAATTACTTTGGTCTACAGTGAGAAAGGACCGTTCCTCGGAGTCACTTTGCCTAGTAGCACGTGCCTGGAAGATCTTGGCTCCTCGGTGTGATCTAAGACCCTGAAATCCATGATCTTGCTCCAACTTCAGAGCAAGCTGGCTCTATATCTCCCTCAGCAGCAGCACACACACCACAGCAATCATTTTGTTAGCTTAGCCTTGGCCTAAGTACGAATTAAAGTTAGAAATGACAACACATTTTAAGACAGATGTGGGATTTGCTGCCTCCCTAGCCTGTTGCTCCCTTCTAGTGCTTATTTCACCTTTACCTGTAATTGAAAAATGGGAGGGTCCTGTGCACTCCCAACCTGGCCCCAGCAGACGCCACTGTGTTGACAGCAGCACCTTGCTCGAGTGGAAGAGCAAAGCCAGCCTTGCTGACATGTGGATTTTCTTGCATAAAACAGGTTTTTGGTTTTTTTTTTAATGTCTAGGAGGAAATATCTATGTGTTTTATCTTTATCCTGGAGGTTAGTAAAGAACATGTAATATGTTTGTTCTTATGTACAGTTTGATTTTTTCTTTAATCAAGTACCTTTACCCACTTTACCCCTTTTATAAAACCATAGCACTATATATATTTCCTGCACCTTTCCTTAGTCATTAAGAAGAATTGAAAATTCTTAGAAGGTTGAACAAAGAAAATAATGATCGTTGGAAATTTGAAGTGGGAATTTTTTGCTGATGGCATTTGATAAGAAAAAGAAAACAGTTTATTGGTGATTGGGAGTTCATCACATTCTTCATGTTTCCTCTCTCTTCTAGCAATGGCTCAGCAACATCAGAAGACCTTTTTTGGAAACTTGATGCACTGCAAATGTTTGTCTTTGATCTACACTGGCCAGAACAAGAATTTGCCCACCACTTAGAGCAAAGACTTAAACTAATGGCCAGTGATATGATAGAGGCCTGTGTCAAAAGGTAGACATTTTCAAGTTGCTGTTTAATCTGCCAGCACCCAAAATACACTTTTCATCGAATGCCTGCTATATAATCATCACAAGAGGGTTTCAATAGGTACTACTATTCCAGCTGTCATGAATATTAGCTTTGCTGACCTAAAGTCTGGGGATCTGTGTAATTGAAATTGACCTGATGCTTTTTACAGGTCTCCTAACTGTTGTCCTCAGCAGCAGCACCCATACCATATTAATCATTTCTGTTGCGCTTATTGCTACCTCTCTGGGAATACTGTGCTTTAAATTCCCAAGGCAGTCATTCCTGATACATACGGAAAAGGTCTGTTAAGTACTTTATGCGTTACGTACTGTGTCTGTTACTGTGAAATGGCGTGACAAATTCAAACTATGATCAGTGCTATCAGTTATGTTTTCTGGAATTTTCTGTCCATATCAAATGAATTCCAAGTATTCACTGACCTTCCTCACAACCTGACCAGAAATAAGTTATGCAGCTTTGGTGCTTCCAAAGGTGTCTTCATTTTTTTTTTTAATAATTCTTATAAAATCAGCTGTGCGTCCTAATTAGCGAAACATCGTTTCTTCTGTTGCTTTCATAATGATATAAACAAGAACAATGTGGAGCAGCATCTGGAAATAACAGATACATGTTGGAATAGTTGAATAACCCTTAATTCGTTAAAGCAAGAAAAATCCTATCTTTAGAAGAATGTTTAACAGCTTTCTAAGATGAGACCATGAATTAGATATTTAATGTTGAAAAAGTTATGTTTGTTACATGTGATGTTGATGTCTCAGCTCTGTGGATATTTTAGCAAAACCAGTCTGAAATTGCCCAGTGTGCAGTTAGCTTTCAAAAACCAAACTGCAAATTTGGGTATTGAAAGAAAACCTAAGTATCATCAGAGAATTATCCATCCTCTGTTTCACATAAGAGTTTTGCAGACTGACACCTAAAGAATTTATTCTGCTTTAGTGCAGAAAGTATGTGGTTTTGCTCCTTGGGAATTAATTCAGGCAGTTGTGTGAAGCTCTGAAGTCTTCCCACTAAAAGTGACACACTAGATGTAACAAACAGCTTCATTTGTGTAGAGATCCTGTCTGAGTGACTGCAAAAGCAATGTTTAATATAAAATATCAGGTCAGATCTTCCATATGAGACACTGAAAAGAAGAGCATCCCACCCCAGGCACTTCCACACAGCTTTTTTGCATGTTTTAAATTAGCATCTCGTAGTGTCAATTTCACTTTTACAAAACAGGTGGGACATATGTCAGAATGTCTTACTCTGAATTCATGTTTTAATGACTAGAACAAGAACTGCATTTGAACTCAAACTGCAAAAGGCAAGCAAAACAACTGACTTGCGCATTCCAGCTTCTGTGTGTACAATGTTTAATGTGCTAGTCGATGCCAAAAAGCAAAGCACCAAACTCTGTGCCCTGGATGGAGGACAAGAGGTAAGTGGGTTGAATGTCACCTGTGGATTGGGATAGCCTGACAGAGAAGGATGCAGTTTCCAGAAGTTACTCACCAGATTTGATTTAAAAAGACCAGGTTCTGCAAAAGAAGTGTCTGGTCTTTTCTTTCCTATAATAATAGGATGCTCTTTCTCCTTTGTTCATGTCAGTTTCCTCTTTTATAAACACCACCTAAATTTTACAAGAAGCCATAGAGCTTCACACACACCTTTTAGCAGTTGAGGTATTGTGTGTTTACATAAACCCTGCTTTTCTCAAGCAAATTAGAAAGCTATGGGCTTTGTTTAAACAAATCTAGGGTATCAGGAGTTTGCATCTACAAACCAAGCCAAAGCATATAACCTAAGAAATACTTTATGTGCACAAAAGTTTCTGTTTTCCAAAGATCAAGTAGTGACATACTTGAAAACTAGGGCTTATTCTTTTTAGTAAATATCCCATTGTTTCCATTTGATTTCTGTTTTATTTGGTTTTATATTCAGAAGCATAATTTTATTTTATCCAATAGTTTGTTTTTGTTTTTTTTTTGAATTGGGGAAAAATGCATCTTTGTTTCTTAGATTATGTGTTTGACTTGACATTGTGTTGCCTTTTTTAACCATTGTTCATCATTTCCTTATTCATTATGTTCTCTTTCATTGTCTTTTGTTTTTCCCATGGCATGATCCAGCTTGGTTGTCAATGGGTAAGTCTTTCTTCTTGTTGTTAAAGTGTATTTTCATTTGAATTGTTATTTTTGTATAAATGTACATTTTCATTTTCATCTTCTCAAATTAATGTAATTAATACTGTTTTCATGCCTTTAGTTTCTATGTGTATATAAAACACTGACAACTAGAGGTTGCATAGCAACGGCCTAAAGACACATTAAAGCACACGTAAACGCTTACACCCTAACTAATGTCAAGCAACCTCTTTCTATCCATTTAGACTACAGAATCTACAAATTATGTCTCAATTTTTAAAGATAAGCTTACCGAAAGCCAAATGAATTCACCCTCCTTTAAACTAAATTCTAAATCATTCCAGAAGCAGATTATTAACACTCTCAAGATGCATAAATTTGTAGTATATACTTTCACTAATACTTGAAGAATTCAGAGCTTGACACTTCAGATGATTTCTGTCGTCGATCAGAATAACTCCCAATAGGAGTACAAGGAAGCCAGTGTGGAATTCGTTGTGCACCATGATTCCCTCTTCCCTCCTGTTCAGCCTGGATGTACAGTCCTCAGAGGCGGGAGCCCTTCTCTGCCATAGAAGGTTGTCTTGAGGGAAGTAGTTTGAAAAATCGTGTGCATATGGGATTAAATACGTTAATTTTATGTCTATCTATATAATGTGTCTATATATATTTTTGTGGATATTATATATGTGGCTTTGGTAGATCAACATAATTTTGTGTTTTATGAATATGTTAAATCCCACTGTTCGTAGAACTGGGAGTCAAGCTCAGGGCCACCATTCCCTGGGCTAACAGTTGTCCTCCAAGCAGAAGGGCTGAGATAATTGTGAGAGAGGATGAGGAGATCCACTCTCTGTGAATTATCATTCCCTGATCACTTCAACATGATTTATTATCTTTATCTGAATGAGCAGCCAGCTGGCTTGGCTATCATTGGCTCACGTCTGCCTTCTTGTGTTTTTCAATGCCCGGATGTAAGCCTCTGATTGTCTACTCGAGAATATCGCCTTAGCTCTCTTCCTCATCCCATCCATTTCTGTTCAGCTTTCAGGGTTCACCTTTTACTTTTTCCTTTGAGTCATCTTGCCTCTTCCCATTAATACTAGACATACCCATTTGTTCTTATTTTAATGTGTATAGCAGCACCTGACACACAATAGTCACTTCATAAATATTTGTTGAATGAACAGACTGATTTGTTGTCATGCTATAAAATCCTCTCCTGTGAGAAACAACTCACTCTAGTACTTAAAAAAAGAAAAACAGGCAGCCCATAAATGACAAAACATTGTTGCATTGTCAGATGATTCTTTACATTAATAGGTGGATGGTTCTGAAGAGTAATCTGTTACTCCGTTCATTATGTCTGCACCTGTACCTTCTCACCAGAGACAATTAGTTCCCCACAACTTTCACACAATTAATATAGTTCAAAAAGTGCAGGTGTAAAACCCATTTAGCAACCCTGAGAAGTGGTAAACAAGAATTGTAATGCAAAATGATTTTATACTTTACTTTTAATCTCCAGTTAAACACACACACACACACACACACAACTGGCTTTTCCTTTCTCTGTGTGCTAGAAATAAGTTATAGAATTTTACAAATTAGGAAGTGTGCATCTGTATGCCCAAGGACCCCACTTTATGGAAGACAATAAATAAAGTGGTTGAAAAGCTAGATTTTAGATGATTTCAAGCTATATAAAAATATATACTGTAGAGGCCAGTTTAGCAGACATGTTTGCCTACATTCTAAGGGGATTGTCTCTCTACAGTTTCTAGTCATTTGCTGTATTGTCATTGCGGAGAAGAAGCCTTTCCAGCTCTTTCCCACAGCGCAGTCACAGCATGCTCCTAAATTAGGATTCTGTTTCCTGCTGTGACTCATGACGACGCAAAGGTGACGGCCGCTGCCTACAGTGCAGAGGGGTCCGTGAGTGACCTGCTCATGTGACAGCTGTGTGTAATGAGTCAGCAGTCTCAGGTCTGTCCCTGGGGACAGTTGTTGTGATCACAAAACCACCAATGTTGAGAAATCCTGATATCCACCCTGCAGCAAAGCAGATGAGTGTGGGCCTCCTCAGAGAAATCTGCATCATCCATGGTCCATCTATTGAGGACGATGCCACCTTAATGGACACCTCTGGGACCCTTACTTGTGTGGAATTTGTTCTTAATTGCCCTAAAATGTGCTGCCATCTCCATAACTAAGTGTAGAACTTGTAAAATTCACCCTAAGTCCCTCCTTGGTGATGCAGCCAGTTAGAGCATAGCACTGCAAGCTAGCTGCAGCTACTTCAGTGCGAGTTCGATCCCTGGCCCTGGAGGACCCACATGGCATGGCAGACCTCTCCTTCACTCCAAGATAAGGCCCAAGATCTTTTAAGAGTCCTGGATTTCACTGATGTTGGGTTAGGCTTCACTTAGTCTTATGTGTTTACATGTGGTCAGGAAGAAGGTGACATTTGCCCGAGTATGGGGTTCCTAGGATTTCAGTCCAGGGCTGAAAGTCTGAATTGCTGGGCTCCACAAAATAAGAATTCCTGAGTGATTATCTATGAAGAAGCAGGGCACCAGAGGTTTACTTTTGGAGGATAGATATGGGGGAAATTAGCCAAAAAATGAGCTGTTATCTACCAAAGCCCTGGAACGTCAGATTTGATTAGAAATATGCTGAAAAGAGTTTTCCAGGGTTTTAATGACAAAGAAATTTTGCAGATTTTTAATCAAAAATTCATTCTGCATCTAAATGAAGCATCTATCCATTTTAGCTACGGTATTAGGAATGTCTATGCAAAGGCATTCTATTTTTAACCCGCTGTGGTTACTCTGTGTATCTTTGAAAGCCATCAGGATCCCCAGATGCAAAACTTTTTCTAGCTTGCTGACATCTGGCATGGCATTTGTAGGTCATCCTTTTTGCAGAGAGATATGGACAACATGAGTTCTAAGGCCACCCTCCTACCTGCAGTGTTCCCACACCACCTCCACCAATTATACAGTGAGCCAAGCCCTAGGAACACCTAAATGGACATTCTTCTAGGTCAGGACTCAGCAGAGACATTTACAGCTGCAAATTTCATAGTAACCTAACAAATCTTTTTTCCTTCCTTTTTAACTCTTCACTTGCTCTCATCTTTTCTCCCTCTCTCCCTGCTTTTGGCTAAGTCAGGTAGCAAGATGTTGTGTGTGTTGTAGGAGAATTTAATTTGGTGGCTCTGTAGGGGCCATTGCTTCCCTGCCTTTCAATGAAAAGAGTAAAGTGTTCCCTGTAGTGGATCATGTCTTGAGTTTAAGATTTGCTAAGATTGGTCCAACCCAAAAGTTAAACATGGAGAAACTCCACTAACTCATAGCACTAGATTTCTGATGATATTCAGTTACTGCTGGGTTAAAGACAGATCCACACTGAAGGGCCTAGAGAACCTGTCTGGTGGCCTGGGTGTCAGTATGCCCCACAGCTCTTTCCACATCACAGAGAAGGGAGTCGCTGAAAACCTATCTCCTGAACCCCTTTTTTATGTCACCTCAAAGAGGAGCTTCAGTTCCTTACAGGATTTTCTTTTGCTGCAGAGACACAACTTTGGAGAGAAAAGACTATGAAAAGAGAGGAGAAGCTGACAGAGCTTGTTTGCATAAACTCTTCTACAGCTTCAGCTGGGGTTGGGGGAGGTTGTGTATGGTTGGGGGGACGGTCAGCCCCTGCCTTGGTCCAGCTGGCCCCAGAGACCTCTTCAAATGAGGGCCTGCCTCACTCAGAAATCACTCATCACTTAGGCTGCATCAGAACCTCAGTTACCTGTCTGCTTTTTCAGACTCTTTTTTTTTTCCTTCCTTGTTTTTCTTTATTTTCTCTCCTTTGCCTCCTCTTTAAGGTTTTCTAAAAAGCGTCAGCTCAACTGCAGTAGAAATCCGTGTGTTTCTACTCTGTGCTCTGGGGAACACAGGTTTGGGAATCAGTAAGACTTTGAGATGGGCAAGCCTCACTGGGTGAACTCCTACCTAGAAAGCTCCACGTAAATATACATGTGGTGAATTTTGGAGCATTGTCAGTGCCGTGGCACACGCAGTAGAAGCAAGGAAATCACATGCCTTCAAATTATGCTCGCTTCCTTATTATTCATGCAGGTAGATGAGTACTTGTGACTCTCAGAGCCCAGGGGAATCACTCCCTGTGTTTTCCAAAGCAGCCCTAAGTTGATGTTTTGTTCTGTGTGGAAACTTTGAGACATGTTTTCAGTAGAAAAAAAAATAGCTTTCAAAAACTTACATCTTAGGAAACCATTCAACCAGCAGCTGTTAGGTTGGTCTAATGTTTATCCTGACCTGAGTACTTTTACTCTATGCATTATGTTAGCTGTTCCAAGAAGCCTTGAACCATCAAGATAGGGTTAGTCTTTACAAGTCACATTTTCTGTGAAGTGGCTATTGGGGACAATCAGCTGTCAGATAAATGCTTCTAAAGGAAGAATTACTGTTAAATGAATGTGCCTTCACAAGCACAGAGCTGAAGCTCCTGCTAATTTAAGAATGGGACTCTCTAGTATTCTCTAAAGAAAGAGAAAAAAAAAGAGGCTTTCAGATTTATTTTAAATACATCTTTTTGTGTTTACTTAAAGGCGTCTTTTTCATGAGGAAGCAGTAATAAAACTATGGGGAGTGAGTGCTGTTTCATTATACCTTTTATAGCCTATTAATTTGTTACCATCTATTCACCTTTGTTGATGAAATTTTAATTTTGCCCTTGCTTGAGCCTATTGTAAGAATTGTATAAACTGCTGCTCCCTGCACTGACAAAAAGGTCCTTTTAGACCGAACAATTGGGAGCTCATTTTATTTCTAGAGCACATTTAAAATAACTTATGAATGAGAGTTGTCAGACATGAAATGCTGTATTAATTAAATCTTTTTCCAGTCTTTTTGCTTCTCCAGCTAAACCAACCCTTTAGAAAAATACACGGCCACCTTAATTATAGAGGAGAAGACAAAAAGTAACCTTCACATTCCTCCGCCTGAATAAGAATAAGAATTCAATTCATCTATATAATAACCCCATTAGCTGCTTAACTCAACGGTGCACATGGGAAACATTTCAGACCACAATGTAAAGAGTGTTGATTGGGTGGATCGTTTTCAAGGTTTTGTTCTGCTCATGTTCAAAATGATCATTTTAAGTAAATCCGATATGTCGTAACTAGTAGCTTGAAAGCATCTATGACTTATGACAAAATTGTTTTGTTCCATATCCACTAATGCATCTTCATCTTTTCCTATCTAGCAACAGTACCATTCAAAAATAGATGATTTGATTGACAACACTGTAAAAGAAATCATTTCACTGCTAGTTTCAAAGGTAAGGGTTTTTTATTCAATTAATAAAGTCCAGTCAATGTTCAACTGATAATTTTTAGCAATATCTGGCTTTTGTTTTTAAATACCTAATTGGAAAAATAGTTGGAAAAAGAGATAAGAAAAGTTTAAATTTTAAGAATAGTGGCAAGCAGAATATAGACAATGCTGATTTTCTGTTTGGAATTAACTTGGGCTTTTATGGCTGTTGTCCTTTTAAAAATAACTTTCTCCCAGTAGTACCGTATTGTTCTGTATTATCGTTCTCCCGCTATTTGTTTTCGCTCCAGTGCTGAGTTGAGTAGTCATCAGCCCTTCACTCTCTTTGTTGTGGTGACCCCACTGGCACTCTGGATCGGGCCTCAGAGGAAGACAGAGAAAGCTGTCGGGGTTGTGGCTGAGGTCTCCGCTCACAGGAGTCTCCCACCGTTTCCTATTTGATGCTCCACATATCTTAGACAAAAAGTTGTGGCCTTTAATTGTGGAAGAATAGATGAAGCATTAATGAGTGTTCCATGGAATGATTAGGTGATTTCCAGACCCACTGAGGTGTAACACACTGCTGTGGGTGACATCTGAGATCAGGCTCTGACAGGGAAAGAGGCAGGAAGTGAGAAGACCAGGCCCAAAGGAGGGTGAGGAGCGAGAAAGGGTGTGTGCTCCTTTCGCGTGGGCACATATCTCCCTGGCTCCTGCAAGGCGCCATCAAACTAACCCGTTATAAAGTGCTAGAAGAATGTACTAAAAGCAGAGGGAACCCTCATCCTCCCCCTTCTGGTAAACAGATTACAAGATGAGTTTAGAAAAGGAAAATTATAAGCTATAAGCATGAAAAATGGTAAGCCTTGTTAATAATTTAAGAAATAGGGCCTCCCTGGTGGCACAAGGGATTAAGCACAGCACTACGAAGCTGTCTGTAGCCACTGCAGCACTAGATCAACCCCCAGCCAGGGAGCTGACCCACATGGGCAGCAGATCTCTCCTGTCTCACTCTTCCCCTCAGCAGTGTATTTTAGTGAATCTGTTCTGCTCCCCAGTCTGTCTCTGGTGAATCCTCTCATCCCCTGCACCTCTGGCCTGTCCCCCCCCCCTATTCTTGGTGCATAAATAAAATACTTTTAAAAATAAGGAGTACAGTAACATACTGTTTTTTCTAGCAATTAGCGAGGCTGTTTTTAAGCTAACCCCCAGTTTTAGAACAGTGAGGGTGACCTCTCCCATTTCCTATAAATAGGAGTATAATTTGTTTCACTGTTTAACTATCTAGGAGATAGTTTGGAAATAAATCAAGGATATTAACACCTTTTTACCCTGTAGTTACTTTTTTCATTTTCTCTCGCTACTTATAGGGATGCACTAAACACATATACATTAATATCAGTCATATTATTTCTAATGAAAAATGTAAAGCATTTTCATCTCTACATGAAGGAAATGGTGACTTATGGAACATTTTCATTAAGAGTCATGCTTTCAAAGATTAGCAATAATAAAGGAAAGGCTTCCTACGTACTAAATGAAAAAAAACAGAAATTTAAAAATGGAAAGTCTGATGTGAATTGGCATTGCATTGAGAAAAGACTGCTAGAATGTGCAGAAAACCCCTTTTCTGTGTATGTTGGGATTATAGTTGGTTTGAAGGTATTCCCTTCAGATTCTGTTTCCCAAATTCTCTGGTAGTGGGTCTTGAGGTGGAAAACAGTCACACAGAAGATGCCTTTAGCTAAACGCCAGCTCGCCAGCTCACCAGTTTGTTCTTGCTCACCCGACTCCTGTCACTGTGCTGAATAGCTACCGATGCACACACAACACACTCTCCCCTACAAGAAGACGTGACTAGGATGCACTTTCAACAGGTGAAGGGAGTGGGCAGCCGCTGGACAAGAATCTCAAGAATCAACAATGAGATTCCTGCCTTCGGAGGAGCCACCCAAAAGCCTACACAGCCACACACATAGCACAGATGCTCAGCTGACATTGGTGAACACTGCTTCTCCCTTCTCTCTGAGACACTCAGGGGAACTCTCTCCCCTTCAGCACAGTTCTCCTGTGGAAATTTCTTTTGTGAGATGTGTGCATCCTGGCTGTCTTTGAATTGCATGCAAGTGTGCAGGTGGTAAAGGGTTAAGCAGGCAACAGGCAAAAAGGCCACCTAGGGCCCTCCCTGGTGACCAATGGGTTAGGACTCAGCACTGCAAGCAGCCATAGCAGCTTCAGTGTGAGGGCAAGTTCAGAGTGCAAGTTCAAGTTTGATCCCTGCCCTGGAGGTAATCCACATGGCGCAGCAGACCTCTCCTGACCTGCCAACTGCTCCCCTCAGCAGGGTATTTCAGTCAGTCTGCCTGTTCTGCTCCCCACTCTGTCTCTGGTAAATACTCTCCCCCCCACTCTTCTGGCTTGTACCCCAGTTCTGTATGCATAAATAAATCTTTTAAAAAAGGCTAACTAGGTTAGGGGTGTGATGGGGGCAGGAGGGCTATAGGGGAGGTAGGCAGGAATATGTCCATCACCTCTGCAGCCACTTCTGGCAAAAAAAAAAAAAAGTAATTTTTTTTCCATAGCGAATGCATCTAGTTAATTGAAAAAAATCTGTGTAATTGAGTCAAATAAGGACTTGGTGATCCATAGAGCAGTGCTACCCAGTAGAACTGTGTGTGGTGATGAAAGGGTTTATTCCAGTACAGTAACGCTAGCCAGGGAGCACTTGAAATGTGCATAATGCAACTAACCAAAATTTTACTTTTTATTTAATACAGTTCATTTAATAGCCTCACATAATCAGCCTTCCTATTCGGAAGTGAGCTCTAAATTATACTTTCTCTTTATGGCTCATTATCCTGCAGTCAAATAGTACTTATTCATAATATTTAATTCTTTGTTTGGAAAGTGTAAAATAAATGCATTTGGTTGTTTGAACTGACCATCTTAAGCTTCCAGAACAAATGACAATAAATGGTGACTTTTATTTCAATAAACTAAAAGATAAATAAAAGATAAATATGCTTCTCCCATGTAAGCATGCAAAAAACTTGCATGAAATCTTGTTGTCATTTTAGTATGTAGCTTGCCATGACCTGCTCCCTACAATTCTGAGCCACAAGTTTGTAAGAGGAGCAAAGATTTTTTTTAAGATTTATTTATTTATGTATACAGAACTGGTGTATGGGCCAGAGGTGCAGGGGTAGTGAGAGGATTCACTAGACAGAGTGGAGAGCAGAACAGGCAGACTGACAAAGTACACTGCTGAGGGGAGCAGCAGACAGGTCTGAAGAGGTCTGTCTCGCCATGTGGGTCAGCTCCCTGGCGGGGGAATGAACTCGTGGTGCGGTGGTCTCAGAGAGCCTCATAATGCGGTGCTTTAACCCGGTGTGCCACCAGGGAAGGCCCAGAGGTGAGTCCTTTCAACCCATCTTAGTGTTGCTTTTGACGTAGAGGTTCAGGAGTCAGAACCTAGCTCTAGTGAATAGGCTGTTGGGTAAATATGCTTTGAACCTCAGTACATATTTTTTTATATGCACACTGTTTTCACCAAAGGGTAAATTTTTTTTTAAGGCATTTCTGTGCTAGCTATTATGAGACAGCCACTGTACCCATTTTATTTCATTTAAACCGCATAAGCCTTGGGAGGGAAGCAGTCATACTCTAGTTCACAGAGAGGGACGTGTCCACTGTGAGTCCAGCGCCCTGGACACAGATGAGAAGACACAGAAGTAGCTACAGAGCCAGGACTGGGCCCCCAGGGCCCCTGCAATCTTTCCACCAACAAAATCCATAAGGCCAGACAGAAAAAGATTGGTTGTTTCATGTCTCCAGCTTCCTGCATCCCCTTTATATCCAGCTGGAACCGACCAACCTGCGGGTCCCTCCTGGGAGATTTATGCCACCCAGAATATGTGCACGGGCAGGCAGTCATGTCAGGGTAGCTACAGTGGTATAGCTAATGATGGGATTCACTTTTAACAAGAAGAAGCAGAAAGACGGACTAAGAAGAAAATGACCATGTTCCTAATGTGCTTTGGTAATAGGGAACCAGCAAATTCTGGGTAGGCTTCAAAAGATCACAGCAAAATATTTAACTTACTAATATTTAATTTACTAACTACTCAGTTACTACAATACAGGATTTGGGAAAAACTGTATTTTCTTTCTAAGTAGGTATATGTAGGTTTTCCCCACACTCTAAGTTCGAATGTTCCTCTTTGGTGTGGCTTGCTAGATTACTTGAGAGGGCTGGGAAAGTCAAAAATTTTTCCTTATAAATTCATCGGTAATGACACCCCCAGACCTAATAAACAACTTACATAGTAAATGGGAACATTCCACTTTCAGATAGTGGGGTAAACATGTGTGTGGGGGTGGTTAGAAATGTGTATGTAACCATGTATACACACATATCCTTTCCAATAACCTGGGATGTTTTCCCCTGAATTTCTCTTAAGAATAAGACAGGGCCCTCCCTGGTAGTGCAAGGGATTGAGATGCAACACTATGAAGCTATTGGCCACCACTGCAGCATGAGTTCAGTCCTGGCCAGGGAGAGCTGACCCACATGGCACAGCAGACCTCTCCTGTCTCTGCTGCTGCTCCCATCAGCAGTGTATGTCAATAGATCTGCCTGTTTTGGTCCCCACTCTCTCTGTGGTGAACCCTGTTACCCTCCGCCTCTTTGGCCTGTACCCCAGCTCTTGTGTGCATAAATATATCTTTAAAAAAGAAGACAGAAGACAAATCTAACCAGACTACCTAGATGATATAATGAACATATCTCACCCTGACCTAGACTGATCAAGCCATTTTGATAACATTTACCTGTTTGACTCGAAGTATATATTCAAAAGACATCTTTTCAACTTCAAGTATGGGTTTGAAAGGAGTAACATACACTATGAGGACCTATTTGAATGAAATACAAATAAGACAGGACACTCTTAGCAGGCAAGTGAAAGGAACAATGAGAGAAGCCATTGTGGAGAATTTACCAACCTCAGGACTAGATGTGCTGTTTTGTAAGTTTCTTGGCCACCTTGGGGAATAGGATCTATTATAAATAAATATGTTCTGCACACATTCAAATCCTACCCACCCTTAGTATGGGTGTACATAACCCAGAAAGGCCTTTTAGGAGCTGTGGGAACAAAGTTTCACAGAGGTCAGGGGTCACAGGTAGAGACAAAAGGCGGAATAGAGACAATTGCATTGACATTTTTTTTTTTTAAGATTTATTTATTCATACAGAACTGGGGTACAGGCCAGAGATGCGGAGGGTGAGAGGATTCACCAGAGAGAGAGCGGAGAGCAAAACAGGCAGATCGACGAAGTACACTGCTGAGGGGAGCAGCAGGCGGGTCAGGAGAGGTCTTCCACACCATGTGGATCTCCTCCGGGGCAGGCAGGGATCGAACTCATGCGGAAGTGGCTTTATCTTTGGCTTTATCTTCTTAGTGCAGTGCTTTAACCTGCTGCGCCACCAGGGAGGTTCCAATTGCATTGACTTTAGCATGAACATTCTGTTCCAAGGAAAGAAGCCATTTTTTCTTCCTCGTCCCTGATGTTCTGATTCCACGTGAATTTTTAAAAATAGTTGTTATTCCTGATCTTACCTAACAAAAATGAAGTACCAGCTGATGCATATCTCCCCCCAAAACTAGTTTTTCTGTGATCAGTCTTATGGATGACTGCCTTTTCTGTGGAAGAAGATTCCATACTTAGAGTATTATGAAATCCCTTGTTTATTCCACAAGCTATCACAGCCAAAATGCAAAAGCTGGGTTTTGAATCCACCAAACCATAGCTGGAATCTTCCCTAACTCTTCTGAGATCTGTATTTCTACTTTTCATATGCATAGGAAAATGAACCTTCTAACCTATTAAAATTCAGCAGGAAACATAAACCCATGTGCCTTGTAACATAGTTCATGTTCAGTCTATTAGTCATTTCAAAAAGTGCTTTTATCATTTCCTTCGTGTATGCATCCCAGGCAAAGTTGGTAATTACCCAGACAGACTTTAGGTATTAAATATTATTCAAACAAACTCAGTTAATAGCATCCACAATAAAGAGAAGGGAAACAAAGAGATTATAGTGTTTCATCCCAAACCCGACACCCTCAGGAGAGCAGAGAGCACAAGGCAAACCCACAAGTATTTATATACTCCCTGAGCTGTGCGAGAAAGTTCACAGGAAGCAGTTAAAGACACAGCAACGAAACCCAGCATTTAACTGGATTTCTTGGAATCTTGCTGTTTTTGTGCAATTAAAAGCCAGAAGGAAAATATATCATTATCCGTCAATCTTGACGTTAATAGAATGTGGTTGTTAAGGTAGCTCCTTGACCACGATGTGCCTGGAGAAATATCTTACAAAGAAACCTAGTGGCTCAGCTGGCTGGTCCCAGGGGCGCCTTCGCTGTTCACTGCCGTGTAAGCACTTAGCGTCCATGAGTACCGTGCCTCTCCTGGGGCATTTGGGGTAGGGAAGAACCCACAGAGAGCGCTTGTCTATTGTTAAAAAGGAGGTAAAGCACATTGACACAGATCAGCAGACCCCAGGTCCACAAGTAGTAGCCTTCCCAGAAAGAGAAGGCTGTGGGGTCACCGTGGGAAATCTGCCCTAAATGCACCTGCCCTGGCTACCTCCACGCATCCATTTTCTCCATTTCTACTCTGTGGCTCAGCTCCTGGCTTGCCTTGTGTGTGAGGCTTGCTAGTTTCAGCTCCACTGTTTGCTTGTCTGGAGCGGTCCTTTTTGCAGCCATGGGTCATGACCAGCTGTGTGTGTCTGTCCCTTTCGTACCTCTGTTTCTGAAGGGAAAGACATAGATTTATTTCCCATGTTAGGTACTTAGTAGTTAGGCTGGAAAAACACACTAGAATAACATGTACTTACTATTTGCACATTACATGAATCATCTCAGTTAATGCTTTCAACTCGATGGTCCAGAGCATGGACTTTGGTTCCAGAACATCTTAAATCCTTCCTTTGCTCTCAGTCACATGGGCTGCAAACAGATGGGATTCCAATGTGCTCTTCTGACTGGCAGCCTCAAATCTGTTCTCCCTCCCTATAGAGATTAAATAAATTAGGATGGATGCTGAAAACTATAAACATTTTAATCTCATTTTGCTAGATAATCCTAAGGCTACGCCCAATACCTTGGGATTGAGCATATTTATGATTTTAACTTGTATGATGGATACAAGTGATTTAGCTCTTCTTAATCATCATTTAAATCCTTATATTTCTTTAGTATTTTGCTCTTTTCACAGTCCTTTCACATGAACATATCCACTGAGCTTCACACCATTCTTGTAAGGAAAAAATTAACTGGCATTTTCTTCACTTTCCTGATGAGTACCATGGTGCTAGAAAAATTAAATGGCTTATCTGTTTTCTCTGTGCCAGAGAGTTGTCGAGCTACAACTTGAACTGCAATCTAGATCCTTCCAGAGGGTTCCTGCCTCTGCCTTGCCTTGACCCTCAGCATCATGCACGTGTCAGTATACACTCACTGAAAGGCACTATGGACCAGGAGCTTCCAGTGGAGCTACCGGTAACCATAGCGATTCTCCCTCCCCTCGTGACAAATGAGATCACCCAGTACACACTGGCCCTCAAGATTTGAGTTACAAAAGACAAGGCATTTTCCACAGAGGGCCATTAAGTTTGGAATTCCCTTCCCCTGGCCTGACTTAACCCTGGAGTATTGGTCCTCTGGGTCTTTGTAAACCACATCAAGTTGAGTTAGTCAGCTGTGATTGGTAAGAAATCCTAATGGGCAGGAAGAAAATGCTAAATTGACTTTTAGTTGTGAGCAATTTGTAAATTTGTGTTTTTTGCTGCTTGTTTCCCTTAGGATGACTGACTGAGCGATTCATAATCCTCCACCTTTATACACAAAATTACAGTCAGCCGTCTGCAGGATTTTGTTTCTGTGTTCTTACATCATGTCGGCAATGATGTGATGGAGAAACCTATAGGGAAGTTTGTGTTTCTTTTGCATAAACTATTTTGCAGTAATTGACCAACCATAGAGAAAAGATTATCTCCTGTGCACTCTCAGCGAGTTCTCTGGTCACCAGAGACCAATAAGCTGTGTCCCTAGAACTATTATCACTTTGTTGAAGAAGCTGCTATGTGAACAAAAACCAGCCTTCGTTAATTTCCCTTTTCGTATTTAAAAAACCTTGTCAGTGTTTTCCCTTTGGGAGTGTATAATTTGTCAATAGTGCACATATTATTTTATTCCTAAAGAACAGATATGAAGAGTAGGATATTATTATCTTCTATTCACTTATCTTTATGCCAGATTGCATATTCCATTGGATAAAATTCCCTATACTTTAAATTTTATTACAATATGCATGTCTTAACTTTCATTTTATAGAAATATAAAAAAGTTTTACAAACACAAAACACTTTCTAGATGAATTTGAATTCCATCCCTCCCCTCTCTCTCTAGGCACCGAGAGCCTAGAGCATCAGTGGGTGAGCTGAGCCCATGGAGAAACAATCAGGATAGACATTCTCCCTCCATTGCACTGCTCTCTCTCCATTGCACCCTGCATTGTGTTGTCTGTTTTAGTGCCACAACTATTTTGTGAACTGAAAAAGGGGTGACCTTTATAGTACCGCTTCATTTAAAGTGCTTAGGAACTGCCTGCTAACTAATATAAAGCTTCATTTCACCGTTACAAGAACCCCAGATGTTATACAGCCCTTTCACTCTTCTGTTTCATTCAACTTTTTTGTCACTAGAAAAAGCTGGGGAATAGTCAAGTGACACATGATAGGAAGGAATGCGACTCAGTTTAACCATCATTGCTTCCAGATATCTGTATTGAAGTTGAAAGTGATTTTAAGGACTCATCTCAGGAACTTCAAGTTTGTTTACTAGTGGCCTAAATTAGTTCACAAAGTCAACGACCAGATTCCTATCACATATTCTTTTTTTTTTTTTTTCACAATCATAAAACACTATGTACTGGGCCCTCCCTGGTGGCGCAAAGGGTTAAGGCACCACACTATGGAGCTATTGTGCCATTGCAGCACGAGTTCGTTCCCCAGCCAGGGAACTAACCCACATGGCGCAGCAGATCTCTCCTGACAAGCCCACCTACTGCTCTCCTCTCAGCAGTGTATTTTAGTACATCTGCCTGTTCTGCTCCCCACTGTCTCTGGTGAATCCTCCCACACTGTCCCCCCCACCTCTGGCCTGTACCCCAGTTCTCATATGCATGAAGAAAAATAACTCTTTAAAAAAATAAACCATTAGTACTATTTTCTTTTAAAGCTTTTACTTATTTATGCATACAACACTGGGGTATAGGTCAGAGGTACAGGGGCGGTAAGAGAATTCACCAGATGCAGTGGGGAGCAGAAAAAGGAAATTGATGAAGTACACTGCTGAGGGGAGTGAGATAGAAGAGGTCTGCCAGCCTCCAGGAATGGGGGTCGAACTCCCACTGAGTTGGGCAAGGCTGGCTTTGTGGTGCTGTGCTTCAACCCCTTACGCCACCAAGGAGGACCCATTATGTGCTATTTTCAATAACGGGGAAGGATCTTAGAGTTCATCTACAAGAAGAGAGAGTAAACACTACAATTCACCCCTCAGCTGTCAGTTTCTTTTACACGCCGTGGACCTTTGGGCTGTAGTAAATGCTGACCTGGACTCACATGCCGTGATGTTAGATTGTAAGCACAGTAACCTTCTAACTCCTCACTCAACTGTGTGCTGTAGTTTGTTTCAGTGTTGGAAGGGGTGCTGTCTAAGCTCTCGCGATACGATGAAGGCACGTTCTTTTCATCCATCCTTTCCTTCACTGTGAGTATCTGCACGAGTTCACTTCTGCTGTCTTTTCACTGTCATTGTTCTTAACTAACAGTTACAGACACAATTCTCACAGTTATCTCTTTCTTTTCCAATGAAGGTGAAAGCAGCGGCAAAATACGTTGACGTTCCAGTAAGTATGTTTTTAATTGACTTTGTCAAACTGCATGTCATTCTTTTTCTTAATAGTTACCATTTGCCACAGGTTTTTTTTTTTTTTTCAAATCTTTCAACCAGTGCCGTTCCCTTGAGGAATAGTTTATTTTCCTTAAGCAAGCATGAGCCCTCATAACAAGGCTTGGCAATGTTATTTCAGTGTACTTTTTCCATTGTAACTTGGGAACTCTTCTGGAGGTCGCTTCATCTTGCGAACATGTCACCTCGGTTACAGAGGGGAGTGATAGCATGCTAGAATGGGGTAGAAAACACCTCACACTATTTATAGAAAGCTGCTCACTCTCCCTTCCCTTTATAGGAAAGCTGTAACAGGTTTCTTACAGGAGTTAAAGTAACAATAAAGATGAGCCCGTTAAATCAAGGAACTAGTTTTCTAAATACAAAAGTGTTATAAATCAATATTCACTTATTTTAACGTTTGGTTTTTCACAGAATTCTTGGGAAATCACTCATAACCTGTAAATTTGTTCAAAGATTGAAATACCATGAGAGGAAATGATGAAACTTACTTAGCTACTATGAGAAAATTCACATGGTAAATATAATCAGCAAGTTAGTGCAGTGTTTTAAAATTGATCATCACAGCAAATTAGTTTGTGCCTTAAAATCTATTATCAGTTATGTG